TATTTATTCATTATTCCATAAACTTTTTTCTTATTTACTGATATTTTCATATTAAAAACAGTATTTTTAATATGAAAACATCAGTAAAAACTCCAAAAAGTTATTAAAGCATGCAATGAAGACAATTTGCAGTTGTGTTTTCTTTACATTTAACTTAATTATTTAGTATTATTTTTTTAAATAAATAATTTTTTAACTATTTTTTTGCTAAATGGCACAAAATAAAAATTAAAAATAACTTTCTAACATAAATAAAAGTAATAAATAGATAAAAAATGTTGTCTTAAGTCGTGCAGTAAAGCCAACTTACAGTTATCTTTCCTTCATATTTCTGTTATTAATTTATTATTCTTTTAACTATTTTTAATATTTTATGTTAAATTAAATAAAATATAACCTCAGAATAATTTAAAAAATAAAAATGTTAATGAATATATATATAATTAAATTAATTACTTCTTATATATAGGCTTATATGGAATAAGGGATTACATTACACTTCTAGCAGTTTAAACTATGGAATTTTATTTTATAAACTGAATAATATTCAAATTATAAGCGAATTTATGATATTAGATGTCATTCAATAGTGTTTATTTGAATTTGTAATGAGAAGAATGTTTCTTATCGATGAATAAACAAACAATCTTGGCGCCGAGTCGCTTAAAAAAATAATGCCATGTCATAATTATTAAAGTCTCATTTAAAAATAAAAATAAAGTCGTATATAACCTTAAACAATTATCAAAAAATAAATAAATATTATAATTTATTTTTATCATAAATTTAATTTTTCCAGTTATAATTTAACGTTGTTAACTTTATCAAACGCCTACGTTATGAATTTTTTAGAGCTAAAATTTTGATTAAATATGCGAATTTTTTGCTTTAAAAACATTAAAAATAATTTTTTTAGTATTAAAAATTTATAATTTAAGAAATGTTTTATATTTTAAAATAATTTCTATTCTTTTTAAATATATATTAAATTAATTTAGAACGTTGTCTTCTTAAATCACGAAGCATCTTCATCCTACTCTTCCTTTTCTCCTGTTATATTTATCAAATATAAATCATTAAATATATATTAAATTAAGTTTTAAAAATATAAAAGATTTATTTTTAACATTAAAAAAAATAAATTTTTAAATTATAAATAAAAAATTTATCAAAATTCATGCATAATTATATCTACTTTACTATACACCAATGTTTAACATTCGTGTTACGTTACCTTTGTTTAGAGCCTGGTTATAAAATATATTTTAGGATAACCTCTTAAAAATAAATTTTTATAAAGTTATAAGGTTATATTTTATAAATATATACATTAATTTTAGTTTTTTTATTAAAACAACTTGAAATTTTAATGTTTTTTTGTACGTAAAAACCACATTAAATCAAGCTTATGTAAGATGAAATCTTAAGAACTTTACTGTATAAATGTAATAAATTTTTTTATAATTATAAAATTTAGAGTTTTATAGACTATTTCTAAACAAAATTCTGTATATTTATCGATTTATTTTATAGTTAATTAGTGTTTTAATGTGCCAACAAGGCTACGAAGTAAGGCCATTTTGTAGGGTTTTCTAGAACAATATTTTAAGATAAATGGTACAAGAATACGTTTACTAGACGAAATAATGGAGTTAAATACGTGATTTTGATATAGAAGAAGGTTACGCGTCGTTACAGGGGGAGCAAATAACGTTACTCGGCGTCAACAGGGGGAGTTAGTGCACCATTCGGAGTTAGTGCACCAGCAATCCGATAGCCACACCACTTAGCGACAACCTCACTCCGTCACTGGCCGGGTCGACAGGTCTTACTCGGTATCGAAACGAGGCTGAATCACGTCCCATACACGGACACACACGCACACACACACACACACACACTTACACACACACACCACACACACTTACACACACACACACCACCCTCCACCCCCACGGCCCGAGGCTAGCTGCGAATGGTTCGCCCGAAGCCTCGCCTCTACTCTATACGCTTTACTTAGTTGAATTCATCCACTGAGATTTCGTCCATCCCATCTCGCTTGCCCTTAGACATGTTTCGTGTTATGGCATCATCGCGTATGCCACCATTCTAACTCCCTCCTCCATGTTGTGCTCAGATGCCAAAATGGTCGATCTTGAAGATAAACCTTTGGAGGCTCAGGTAAGGACCTTATTTGATACAAATATAAATATTAATATTATATAAATGCCTCTAGACAACGTTATAAAGGGGAAGAGGGATTCGAGGCGCGTTATACCCAAGGAAATTTATCACTCGTATGGATTTTTCTTAGAAATTTTGCTGCTTAAATTTCATTTTTATCACCGATTTTGATCTCTAGCATTTTCACGGAACTGCAGACGGAGGTTTCGTCTGTTTTTACGTGAAATTTGTGTTTGAAAAACTTGCGAAAATGGACCAAAAACAAAAAAAAAAAAAAATGTTTTTCACCTTATTCGGGAAGTAGCCCTTTGTATCCCAGTTCCGAATAAATCAAAGGTTAACTCGTAGTTAGTTCGCATTGTGGTACAAAGTTCTGTTTACAATCAAGTTGCATTCGCTATTCTGAAATTTGAAGTGTTTAAGAGTCACGTTCTTCCGCTTCCTCCCTAAAAACGTCACGTGAATTTTAACGTAACCGTTAAAACACCCCATCATTGGTTAAGATTCGGTCCAATAGATTAACTTATTAACTGATACCATTCATTAACATAAAATGAAGATGGTTTAATTAAGAAAAATGTATAAGAATTAAGGGGTTTAGTATGTGTTAGAGGGGTTTAGAACACAAATCTAATTATTATTCAAATGGGTATTTTGTAATAAAGACGTCTCATTTCTCATACCAAGAGGTTGTTCTTGTTGGTGCGTGTGGGTCTACATGGTCGACGGACAATGGACGTGCTTTAATTATTCCTCCTGATGGAATCTGTTTGTCATGGATTTAATGATGTGGACTTTCGTAGGACGGACAGACGAGTATTTATTTTTTGAATAAAAACGTCTAGCAGTTTAATAATTTAAAAAAAAGGTGGTATTTTGCAATGGCTGGAACTGATTGCCGTAATCTTTGATTGCTCTTAAACCCTTTGCATAAATAACACTCGGGTCTATAAATTTTCGCTCGAAGCTTTTATTAATATTAAAAATAAACCTCCCCCTTCCACATATTGAACCTGTATTGATTTCGAACCCAAAGTTCACTTTAATAACCTGCCTCAACGATTCATGACTTTGAAGGTTATTCTTGAAATGATTTTCTATTATTAGTTTCTATAGCGAAACTTTTAATGGATGATAAATAATATACACATAAATTATGAGAAAATGCATTTAGTTTTATTATATATGCTCCATTTGTTATAATGCTTACAAGTATATAACTTGGTTCATAATGCACAATTATATAATGAAAAATCCGACTTTAATATGTAAAACACATCAAAGGAGTACGTGAACAGTTAGTGAAACAGAAACGAAACACGTCTGAAACGTAAACAGGAGGCAAAATGTACACGTTAACATGCTTGTGAGTATCTAAACAAGTAAATTTAAACATAATTATGTTTACGAGTAGAGAAAAACACATAAAGAATACACAAGAATAAGCTCATGACTATTGAAACACGATTATTGACTTCTAAATACATAAAATATATAAATTAACGTGTTTAAGAACAACGAAATAATGCACGTGAAGACGTTTGTATCTATAAAAACACATAAATTTGAACGTGAGAGTATTCATAACACAAGAAACATACTAAAGCAAGTTTCATGCGATAAAACACTATAAAAACACGAAGATAAATTAGATTTAAATCGTAATAAATAATAGGATTAAGATTTAATGACGTTGCTTTTTATATAAAGGATAACTTTAGACATTTATATTATTAATTATTAAAATTAAATATAGTTTGTGTTGCTGTTTAGTTTTAAAAATCGATAATAAACTTAGTTGAGTAATGTTATGTGTTACGCCTTTTGAACATTTGTTCTTCATCTAACACGTCACTTGACAGTACAACCTTTTGACAATTCGATAACACTACGCACTAGCAACAATTAACTACACAATCAATTCTTCTGATTTATTTACTTTTTTTTATGTTTTAAACATAATTAAATGAGTATAAAGCTTCCATCACGTATTTTAATAGTGATTTATGTTAAAGAAATCGCATAATTTCATTTTTTTTCCATGCAAATTGTCATTTAATTTACTTATTTTTATAAAATTAACGAGCTTAATTCGCTTTTATTCTTTGTTTTTACGTCCGAATTTTAAAAAAAAATATTAAATAAATACTCTAAAATAAACAAAATGAAGGTTTAATGTAAAATTATCGAGAAAATAATGGTTTTATGGGTGTAATTCCTGTAAATAATTGGTTTTGTAGCAGTAATTTTCGAAAATAATCTGTAATTTAAACAAAAATTTCACACGGTTTTTTCAAAAAAACATACCAACAGCTCTAATTTTTGAAAAAAAAACACTAATTTTTACAGCTTTTATATGAAAATACACTAAAGTTTACTAAAAAAACTAACAAAATGAATAATTTTCACATGATTTAATGATTTAATTTAAAAAATAAGTTAAATATAATTTTTATCGTAGGAATTTCAGTTGAATTTAAAGAATAAAATACACATACATAAAATAAATAAATAAATAACAAATTAACAGTTTAAAAAGTCAATTAACTTGAAAAAGAAAAAAATTAATTTAATATTTAAAATATTTAATTAGAATAAATGCAAAAAAAAAAAAATTAATTCCTATTTTACAGGAATTAAAAATCGTAATTAATAAAAATTAATTGTATTTTATATAAAACCTGTTTAATTATAAAATTAAATCAGATCCTAATTAAGAATTTTCATTTATGTTTTTATTAAAATTAATTCCTGTAAAATAGAACTAATTTTTTTTCGTTTATATTTATTTTAATTAATTTAATTTTATTAATTAATTAATTATATTTTTTTTACGATTTTTTACTGTCAAAATTATCGGTAAACTTTAATTATTCTCGAATAAATAAAAATAAATTCGTTTAAAAATAATATATATATATATTATTTTTTATATTATATTATTCAAAGTTATTGACGTTGTCTATTAATCTAACAATAAATAATTATTATTTAATATTGTTATCTTGGATAACATTCATATACGTCATTAGTATATATAAAAATGATTTGAGAGCTCATTAATCTAGTAGTCGACTGTTCAAATAAATTGTTGGACTCGCACTTTTATATACAAGTATATAACCGGTTACCTATTCAAATCAAGATATTTCATCTTTAATTATTGCTAGGTTATAACCTTGAGCGTGAGTCGCTGTTGCCATCAATGGTTCCTGTCGTATTTGCAGATGTATGACTTGTTTACTTCACTAACATTAGCTCTTTGCTTCTTTTGTTATGTACGGAAGTTTTGCTTTGTTAAAACTTAATCATTCGCCTTCAATGCTTTATTAAATGTCAACTTTTCCATGAATTTTAGGGAATTTTTTAAAAATATTTGCAAATTTTTCCCTACTTTCAAGCTCATTGACATTGCTCGCTTTCTTTTGTTAATTTGGCTTATTAATTCTTTAATTATTTGACTTTTATATTTATTTTGAACCTCTAAATTTCGATTTATTTTAAACATTTTAGAGAATTTTTCAGAAATTTTTTGCAAAATTTGTTTTATTTTGTAATTACCGAGAGTTCTTTACTGACATTATCTTCATTTCTTTACAAAAATATTAATTATTTAATTTTTTTAATGAATTTTATGAAATTTTGTGGAAATATATACAGAATTTCTATTATATTTCTTCTATTTTTTAGCCTACTGTTTTACTTTGAAGCTTAGTTAAAGCCTTAATTAAATCATTTCTTTCGTAAATTAAGGAAATTTGGCTCATCCAAAACTTACATTCACGGCTTCTGTATTTTATAAAATATCTAAATTTTGTGTATATTTTAGGTAATTATAAAGAAATATAAACAAATTCGAATATAAATTTTCTCTATTTTTTCCCCTACCGCTTTATATTAAAGCTTACTTCGGAATGTCACTTCACCAACTTATTTAGTAAATTACGAAAATTTCTTTAGAAAAAACTTAATAATTTGTCTTCTATACTTTATGAAACATCTAAATTTTATGTTTTATTTAGAAATTTTAAGGAAATTTTTAAAAATTAAAGCGAAATTTCCCTATTTTTTCCTTCCTTTTTTACGTGGAAGTTTCACTTAAGATCTTGTTTTCGATTAGTGATAAAGCTAAAAATTTCACTTTAAGAATTAAATTAATGTAAGAAATTGCCTCCGGGGAAGATTTTAATGTAGTTTTTATCAAAATTACACAGCGGAAAAGCTTATTTATTACTAAAAAAATTTTAAAAAGTCTATTAAAACTCTCCTGTCTTTAAATTAATGTTAAAAAGAGAGAGATCTTAATGGAAATTTATAAAGGAAAAAAAATATTTTGTATTGTTTTAAATTATTAAAATTAAAACCGAAGCTATTAAATAATTAAAAATTATATAGTTTTACACATATTTTTTCCCCTTTTTTTCTGGCGTAAAAAGTGTATTTACATCGCTTCAACGAGCGCAATTCCCATATGAAGCATTGCTTAGTAACTTATTTGGTATGACATAAAAATGTCAAAGTGAATTATTATCGGTTTTATTTATTTATATAAAAAAAATGAGAGAAAAAGGGAAGGTGGAACATCTCTGGAGTGTAGAAACAAGCACGTGACACGTCCCTGCATCGCGCAATAATCCGATCCCACAATTTTCAGTGCAGATTGGGGAGAGTGGGGATGAAGTAAAACGACACCCGATTGCTAATATTTGTCTTCCAACCTGTCTTGTGACAGACAGACAGTTGATTTGGTCCGTGAATTGTTTCTACGAACGGGGTCAGTTATTAGAAGACTGCCAAAAGAGTGTCGTTTACCGTTTCTGCTTTGTACTATCCTTGACGAGTGGCACCTGCTCGCTTTCCACTTATTTCTACGAATCTATGGAAGCAAAACTCACCCCCCCTCTTTCCTTTCCACATATTATCTAACCCCGTAACAAGTAATTAAAATGATATGAAACATTTTAAAGCTGCCTGTAAACACAAGTTACAACGCCACGTTATATAATGCGCGGTTTTATTCTTTAAAATCGATTTTTTTACGTGAAAATTTAACGATTTATATGGATTATAAGATTGTAATTAAGCTATTTTAAAAGTTTATTTAAAGAAAAAAAAATATGAATAATCTACTCCAAGTTTTATGCGAATTGCATAAAATACCTTGCAAATGTGAGGTAAGTTATAACCGCAGATCAAATTTTATCGCGCTAATTTGGTCAAATTTATAAAATTTAAATATTTTATAAATTATTTTAAATTTCGAAACGTTAATTTAAGGAAATTTAATTGTTTTAAACCCTGAAAAATTACTAATTTTATGCAATTTTTAGAAGGATTTCATGACTTCAACTGCTTGAATGACGTTGTAAAATAGGATTGTAGACATAGTTTTTTTTTTTTTTTTAAATCGTAATTAACAGTATAAATTATTGTTAATTAACAGTATAAATTATTGTTAATTCTATCATTTTAATTGTAATTATTTTCAGTTTCTCAAACGAGAAACGTGTAAAATAAATCTAAAAATCCGTGATCAAGCGAAAAATAATTAATAAATAATTGCAAAAATTTAATTAAAATATTATTCATTTATAGAAACGATAAAATATCAGAGAATTTCGCTTAATTTTAATGAAATTTAATGACATTTTTCAAAAGAATTTCGCCAATTTTTAACTCAAATAACGTTACCATTTGTACTAAGCGTATACAGTATACAAAGCAATATTTTTAATTAAAAAAAATAGCTTGTGTATTATTAAGAAGAAAAATTAAAATACAGAAAAATTAAACATAATTCTAATTAAATTTAATAAATATTAAATGAAAATTTCGCCGTTTAAATACGTATTTCATCAGTTTAAAGCGCGTATTGTTTATTTATTACTATAAGTTTTATTTGTACTATTTATGATTTATTTTTTATTGTTAATACAGAAAACATAGAATATTTTTTAAAAGTAATTAACAATACAAAATTCTAGCTTAATTTTAATTAAATTTAACAAGTTTCCGACGGGAATTTCACCATTTTAACATCATCATCCCACCATTTTTTACATCATAGAATTGATTATAAATTCGACAACTTTGTATGAAAATTCCCAATTTACACTTACACAATTATGACCCATTTAATTTGAAATTCATTGAACTAAACATTTTCTATCAACACAGTTTACTTTAAATGGCAAAAAATGTCGGTAAGTAGGCCTAAACTTCATTCTAAACAACGCGATATCGTACCGGTACACAACACTTTTTAAATAATTTTTTAAACAAATATCTACTTAAAAAATTATATATATTTAAATATATTTTAATTCTAGACATTTCAAAGTTTAATTTAAAAGAATTTTTATAATTTAAAAACATTATTTTTTATTTTTTAAAAATATTTCAAATTTTTAAGAACGAATCGCGCAAATATACAACACTTTTAAAATAATTTTTTAAACAAATATTTACTTAAAAAAATTATATATATTTAAATATATTTTAATTCTAGACATTTCAAAGTTTAATTTAAAAGAATTTTTATAATTTAAAAACATTATTTTTTATTTTTTAAAAATATTTCAAATTTTTAAGAACGAATCGCGCAAATATACAACACTTTTAAAATAATTTTTTAAACAAATATTTACTTAAAAAAATTATATATATTTAAATATATTTTAATTCTAGACATTTCAAAGTTTAATTTAAAAATTTTTTTATAAGTTAAAAACATGTTTTATTTTTTTAAAAAAAATGTCAAAGTTTCAAGAACGAATCGTGTTTGAACTTTGTTGTTTAATGTCATAGAATCTTAACGAGATAAACTCTGTTCCATTTATAATTATAGATTAGTTCATGTCTTATTATATTAAACAATATTAAGTAACTTCTGTACGTTTGTTACGACTTTATTCGTCTCAGTATCATTCTTTTATAATTATATTTAGATTAAAATCGTAAGAAAATTACATTTTTTTCCTTAAGTTTAAAGATATTTTTTTATAAGTTTTAATTGTATAAAAGAAATTATAAAAATTCAAGAATTCTGTGGAATTTATTTTTAATTTTATTTGTTTCATTATTTTATATTTTTTTATTTTTAAGTTAAATATTAACAATAAAACTATAAACTTTTATATAATTTTTATATTTAAAAAATAATAAATGTGTATTTTTTTAATTTA